TGTTCCCCTGTTTCTTATGGGATTTTCAAAATTCCATCATTTCCTACAACGTGTTGCTTTCCCATCTTTTTTTAGCTAAGGAGGCCTGGCTTGGGGGCTGCTTTTGGTACTCATTAAGTCTGCTTTTTAATTGGCATTAAGCATCCCTTTGTGCCCAGGAGCTAAACTGCTGCTTCCGCATTGCTGCCATTCCCTGCTGGTCTGGGGAACAAAAGGTGCAGCCTGGAAAGCAAACCCACTGCTGTCTCTCTGGCGCTCAGCCACCCCGGCACTGGTCAAGTGACGATGATGGAGGGTTGGGGTTTTTTTTAATGTCCTAAAAGCACATATTTTATTTTAAAATCATTAAAAAATCAAGTTTAGTGCATTAGACGCTTTTAACACATTACAGAAAATAGAACTCCCCAAGTGGTATTAGAAGTATTACTGCTCTTTCAGTATTTTTTAATTTCTCCTTTAATATTTCCCCCCATTTTCCAGCTGATTTAAATGCTGAGACCCAACTGTAAGAACACAGGCCTGTATTAAAGGCAGAAATACTAAAGCACAGATGGGTGGCACAGATACACACAGGGAATTCTTGTGTCACGCTAAGCTGAAGGTATCAAGCCCAAATCCTCGGATTTAGGTACAATCCTATGGTCAGGCCTCTGCCTTGCACTATCTTGACTCCCTCTTCAGAGAAATAAGCATTTGCAAAGCTCTTTATCAGGAATTATTCTGTCCATATTAAAAAAAAAAAAGCAAAACACAAAAACCAAAACCCAAAAAACAATGCATTCAGGAATTCAGGATTAGAGACGTCATAAATAAAGGCATTATCTTGTTTTCCCAATATACATATACATAAACACACAGATACATACACACATACACAGACATGCATATATATATATACACACACACACATGTGTAAAAGAGATCAAAAAGATAATTCCCATCAATTTTAGTGGCAACCTTAGATTTCATTTGGTGCTTTCAAATTCAATTCTGAAACAGTAAGATGTTGTGTGATATTGCTGAGTGAATTAAAAAAAAAAAAAAAAGTGATGGACACTATGGTACATTTGTCCCCTGTGTTAGTCTACACTAACAGTAACGTATATAAGTTTAGTTATATAAGGGCATCTTAAACCCTCATGTAACTAAACTTACAGACTACTGAAGACCCGCAGACAATCAGGTTGCTTCCATGACACACTGCAGTTACGTAGTGTGGCTGCCACACCTGAGTTCATTTAGGCATTTCCGCAAAATATCGACTTGCTTGTTGTAGAGAAAGAGAGGGCACGGCCAGAAACGAACTGCTGACACTACCGTCAGTTCTAGAAAAACGCTATTTCAGTAACCAGCAGAAGAGCCCACACTGGCACTCAGACAAAGGTAGAAAGCCCACCGCAGGTAGCCAGGTTCCTGAATACACCACACTTCACAGACTGTAAACACCCCTAAATAAAGAAGCGACTCCGAGTAGGTAGCCAAGACACCTAAACCACTATTTTTAAACAAATTATACTGCTTCAAAGGAAGGACAATGTTTATCTTAGCTCTTTATCTTCTCCGCACCTTTGCTGTTGTAAATCGTGTTCGTTGGTAAGTTCCTGGCAAGTGAACCATCCTTAAACTGTCCTAAGAAAAGTGTTGAAATATTATTTGTTAAGAATTGGCTCTTCCTGATAGTTAAAAGTTCAAAATTGAGACAGTACAATACAGGGATGTAATTTTAGGTGAACACCGCAGTGGAAACAGCGGGAAAGTATCCTTCCATCCCTGCTGTGCTCCCCCAAAAAAAGATTCCCCAGAGCATTCCTCCCACTTGGGAGGCAGCAAAGAGGTCTGTGCACACCTTCTCCTGGGCATATTGCAGAAGTGGAGCTCAGTGAAAATCAACTCTTTAACAGTAGGCAGTTGTAGTTGCATTTCAGCCTACAAATGAACTACTATCACCCTCCTCTCCTGTTCTTCCCGCACATCCACATGGCCGCCTACAGTATACTGCTTGGCCTTTCTATCTCTAGGTTAGTAATTCATCATAGTCAATACCTGCTTTAAAGAAATGGGATGTTGTTATTTACCTTTCTTAGCCACCAGACAAAAAATGAATTAAGATTAAAAATATTTAGGCCTCAGTATTAGCTTGGAAAAATCTTTAAATACTTTTTCCATGGTTTTTCCAAACTTCTTCCACATTTAGAGCAGCTAGTTACCTGAAAATATCTTAACACACTGAATGTTTAGCACACTGATCGGAGCCTGGAAGCAAGCTTCATCAAAAGGTGAACATTTAGGAGCACTTTTAACTGGAACAGCAGCTTTTTATAGAACAGTGTGATTTTCTCAGGCACGTCTTGAGAAGATAACTCTTTTAATTGGTTGTGCAAACAGATAATTGCATACTGAGCTGCCCACTAACTATAAAATTACATTTTATTATTATATAAAATGGCAAACTTAGAACCACTTAGTAATTGGAAAAAAAAAAAACTTAGAAAATGAGTATATAATTTTCAGACTTAATTGAGCCTGTAAAGTCTGAATACATTAAGCAATTTAAGGACAGATGGAAAATGCACCCAAACAGATCTACACAGTATGAAATGATTTTACAGGGATTGAGAGCACAGTGTAAGCATGAGCACTGTTTTCATGCACAAAGTTGATGTATGTTTTGGATGTTTAGCATCTAAGGTACTTCTTCAGTATAAAGATTGTAAAGGGATGCATTTACTGTGCTTGTTGATTTTATAGCTTATTTTCAGCCTCTAAGGAAGTACACACTGCATTTATCTCTCTTGAACTGAGCTGTAAG